TCTAGATCTGGATTATCTCACTCAGAATGATTGTTTCCAGCTCCATTCATTACTTGCAAATTCCATGATTTTGTTTTTCTTAACAGTTGAATAATATTCCATTGTGTAAATGTACCACTCTTTCCTTATCCACTCATTGATGGATGTCTAGGTTGTTTCTACTTCCTGGCTATTGTGTACAGAGCAGCAGTGAACATGGATGAACAGGTATTGCTGTAGTAGTATATAGAATCCTTTGGTTATATGCCTAAGAAGGGTATAGCTGGAAGATACGGTAGATCTTTCTAGGTTTTTTTTTTTTTTTTTGAGGAATAGCTACACTGATTTTCCTAGTGACTGCACAAGTTTGCACTCCCACCAGTAGTGAACAAATGTTACCTTTCCCCCAAATCCTTGCCAGCATTTGTCATCCTTTGTTTTTTGATCTTAGCCATTCTGACAAGGTAAGATGAAATTTCAAAGTAGTTTTAGTTTGTATTTCCTTGATGGCTAAGATTGTTGAGAATTTAAAAAAATATTCCTCAGCTATTTTCATTTAATCTTTGGAAAACTCTGTTTAGTTCCTTGTTCCAGTTTTTAGTTGGGTTATTGTTTTTGATGTTTAGTTTTTTGAGTTCTTTATATATTGTAGATACTGACTCTCTGTCAGATATATAACTAGTAGAGTTTTTCCCATTCTGTAGGCTGCCTCTTTACTCAAGTCATGGTGTCCTTTGATGTAGATGTAGAGTTTTTATGTTTAATGTGGTCCCATTTGTCAACTGTTCATCTTAATGTCTGCACCATCAAAGTCCTCTTCAGAAAGTCCCTTTCTGAGCCTATAAGTTCCAGTATGTTCTTTACTTTCTATTAGAGTCAGGGTTTCAGGTCTTGGGATGAGATTCTTGATCCACTTGGAGTTGAGTTTTGTGTATGGTGAGAGATAAGGATCTAGTTTCATTCTTCTACATCTAGTTTGACCAGCACCATTTGTTAAAGGGTCTGTCTTTTCTCCACTGGGTATTTTTGGCCTCTTTGTCAAAAGTCAGGTGACCGTGGGTGCATGGATATATACATCTGGATTGTCAATTCTTTTCCATTGATCTATGTTTCTATTTCAGGCCAGTACCATACTGTTTTATTACTATAGCTCCATAGCCTAACTTAAAATCAGGGATGGTGATACCCTAGCTCTTATTTTACTGTTTAGGATTGTTTTGGTTATTCTTTTTTATGTTTCAATAAGAAATTTAAAATAATTTTTTCAATTTTTGTAAAGAATTGTGTTGGAATTTTAGTGGGGATTGTGTTGAATCTGTAGATTGCTTTTGGTAGGATGTCCATTTTCACAATATGTCTTATCGATCCATGAGAATGGGAGGTCTATTTTCTGGCATCTTCTTCAGTTTCTTCAACGTCTGAAAGCGTTTTATTATACAAGTCTTTCACTTCCTTGGTTAGATTTATTAATATATAATAAAGGCTACTGTGAATGGGATTGTTTCCCTGATTTTTTTCTCCTTATGTTTGTTGTTGGTGTAGAAGAAGGCTACTGATTTTTGTTAATTTTGTAACCTGCTACTTTGCTAAGTGTGTTTATCAGCTCTGAGTTTTCTGGTAGAGATTTTAGGGTTTTTTTAATGCACAGAATCATATCATCTGCAAATAAGGATACTTTGATTGAACAACAGTGGAGAGAGTAGACATCCTTATCTTGTTCCTGATTTAAGTGGAAATGTTTTGTGTTTTTCTCCATTTAGCTTGATGGTTGCTATGGGCTTGTTGTGTACTGCCTTTATTGTGTTAAGATAGGTGCATGTATTGTTAGGTTCTCCATGAATTTTATCACGAAGGGATGCTGGATTTTTTTCAAAGCTTTTTTCTACATCTAATGAGATAATTGCATGGTTTTTGTTTGTGTCAGATACATATTTGAATTTATTAATGTTGCATCTTGGAATAAAGCCAACGTGATCATGGTGAATCATCTATTTGATTTGCACTTAAATTTGGTTTGCAAGTGGTTTGTTGATAATTTTTGCATCTATGTTCATCAGCAAGATTGTCCCATAACTTTGTCTTTTGTTGGGTCTTTGCCTGATTTGAGTATCAGAGTAATACTGGCTTTGTAAAAAGAACTTAGAGTGTTATTTTTTTTATTTTATAGAACAATTTGAGAAGTCCTGGTATTAGTTTGTCTTTGAAGTTCCTGTAGAATTCTGCACTGAATCCATCTGGTCCTGGGCTTTTTTTACCTGGGAGGCTTTTATTTACTCCTTCTATCTCACTGGTTGCTGTGGGTCTATTTAAATGATTTATTTTATCTTGCTTTCACTTTTTGATAGGCCATATCTAGACATCCATTTCTTTTGGGTTTTTCAGTTTAGTGGAATATAGATTTTAAAGTTTGTCCTTATGATTTCATCTCTGACTTTATTAATTTGGGTTCTCTCTCTTTCTTTTGGTTAAACTGGCTAAGTTTGCCAATCTTGTTAGTCTTTTCAAAGAGCCAACTCTTTCATTGATTCTTTGTATTATCTTTTTCATTTCTATTTCATGAATCTTAACCCTGATTTTGTCTATCTATCTCCACTTACTCTTTTCAGGCTTTGTTCTTGGTTTTCCAAGGCCTCGAGTGCATCATTAAATTATTAATGTGAGCGGTTTCTAATTTTCTGATGTAGGAACTTAATGCTATAAACTTTCTTCTCTCTCAGGATTACCTTCATTGTGTCCCATGTATTTTGGTATGTTGTGTTTTCATTTTCACTCAGTACTAAGAATTAAAAACTTTCCCTTTTTGATTCCTCCCTTGATCCAATTTTTATTTGGCGATGTGTTTTTTGGTTTCAAGGAGTTTATGTGCTTTGTATAGTTTCTAATGCTGTTGACAGCAGCTTTATTTGTGGTCAGATAGAATGCAGGATGCTATCTCAATTTTCCTCCATTTGTTGAGTCTGACTTTGTGTCCTAAAATATGGTTGATTTTGGAGAAATTTCTGTGGGATGCTAAGAAGAAAGAGTACTCTTCATTGTTTGGGTGAAACGTTCTGCAGGTGTCTGTTAGATCCATTTGATTTATTATGTCATTTAATCCCAGAGTAGTATTTGTCTGGTGGCCTGTGTCCTACTGAGAGTGCATCTATCAGGATCCCTTCTTTGGTCTGTACCTTTAGTGTTTTGGTCATTATGTGACAGGCTTCTTTTCTGATCCCATCGGTGTGGTACTCTGTATGCCTCTTGCGCCTTGTAGGTGCCTTTCTCCTAAATTTGGGAGTGCTTCCCCCATTATTTTGTTGAAAGTATTTTCTGTGCCTTTGGCTTGGGTTTCTTCTCCTTCCTTAATACCTATGATTTGTAAGTTTGGTCCTTTTATAATGTCGAGGAGTTCCTGCTCTCCACCTGCTCTTTATTTTTATTTTTTTAGATTGAACATCTTTGACTGAGTGATCCAGTTCCTCTCCCTTGTCTTAAAGTCTTGATATTCTGTCTTCCAATGGATCCCTTCTGTTGCTGAGGTCTTTCTTTGTTATTTCACTAAGTTTCTCATTTCAAGTTTTATTTTAACTTGGCTTTCTTAAGAAATTCTGATTTTTGGGTCTGGAGAGATGGCTCAGCAGTTAAGAGCACTGGATGCTTTTGCAGAAGACATGGGTTCAAGTCCCAGTACCCACATGGCAGCTAACAACTATCCAAAATTCCAGTTCCCGGGGTTCCTTGTTCTGGTCTCGAAGGACATTGTACAACATGGGTACCCATACACACATGCAGGTAACACACTCATACATGTAAAATAAAAATAACAAATAAAATGTAAGACAGAAATTCTATTTCTTACGTATTAAGTTATATTTTAATATTTAATTACTTTCTTCATTTCGTTCAGCTGTCTGTGTTTTCGTGCTCTTCATTCAAGAACTTGCGCATGTCCTCTTTGAGTTCACTGAACAAATTTATAAATGCTATTTTGAAACTATTGCCTGTGCATCAGCTAAGTTGCTCTTCTTAGGGGACATTGCAATGGGTGTACTTGTTTCTGGAGGAGACATATTGTCTTGGTTATTCGTGTTTGTGCTTTTGTAAAGGGATCTAGGCATCTGGAGCTTAGCCATTTGTAGTGTTTCTTAATATGGATAACTGGTCTCACCTTCGTTGAGTGTCTGAGTGGATCTTTGTTTGCTGTTACCCCAACTTGTCAGGTGGCAGACCAGCTCAATGATGCTTGGGGTTTGATCTCTGGGTAACTGTGTTGATGTGAGAATGTGGTGTCAGACATATTCCCAGCACAGGAGGGAAAATGTGCACTTCTGAGCCTGGGAACAAACTTTCTATAGAGTTATTTGATTCTTCAGAAGAGTATGGAAGGCTCACATAGTTATGCAGGTGGTCCTTGGGTGGCAGGGGCTGGGGTCACAGTAGGATAAGGATGTCAGTGACTTCAGGTGAAGGTAAATGGGGTGGAGGCCTAGTCTGAGGTCCAAGTCATAGTCCCAGGACTCCTTGAAATCCCTGGGCAGTGTGGTGAATGGGGTGGTTGGAGGACAGGAATGGGGCAGGACTCTGGGCATTCCTTTCCGTGAGTCAGGGGTCCTGGCAGCTTAGAGGGAGCAGTCATTTTTGGACTGGGGAGGGCTCTGAGGGTGTCTACCTGTGGGTTGGAGGTCATGGAAGGGCCACTAATTGAGTTATTTTGTTGTTGTTGTTAGCAATACAATTGATATATATTTATACATTTTAGATTTTAATGTTTTTTTTAAATGTGATATTGTACTTATAAATTTCAAAAACATTTTTTTTTGGTCTTAGCCCCAGCTGTCTTGGAACTCACTATGTAGACCAGGCTGGTCTCAAGCTCACAGAGTTCCACCTGCCTCTGCCTCCCAAGGGCTGGGATTAAAGGCACGCACCACCATAAATTTCTAAATTTATATTTTCTCTTATTTTTCTTTTTTGACTATACCTTTTTAAAAAACCCATTTACTAGAACATACTTCTAACCTTACCTTTGTCTTTTCTGACAGATGACATTTGACCCAGAAATCTTCTTCAATGTTTTGCTGCCTCCAATTATATTTCATGCAGGATACAGTCTGAAGAAGGTAAAATCCGTAAGGGTCGTCAACCTCTCCTATCATGAAGTAGAGCATTTTGCCAGTGCTAATGAATAGTAGTTATTTTATGGGATTTCCTGTTCTATAAGAATAGCATTGTGTAGATTTTCTCATAAAGGTTCAACCCTGACATTCTCAGAATGCTTCTAAACCTGCTTTGTGTAATAGCCAGGACATTAACCACACACATTTATTGAACTCTTGAAATGTGGTTTGTCGAAAGTGAAATGCTCTATAAATGCAAAGTCTGTGCCAGATGTTAAAATCTTGGTCTTTTAAAAAAGAATGTAAATCAACTCAATTATGTTTTATAATGATTTCATGAAGAAATGATAGCATTTGGGGTATATTACGTAGGACAAGATACTGTCAAATCCCATTTCACCTTTTAAAAATTTATTTATTGTGGCTCACTGGAAGAACTGTAAATGATATATGTGGCCCATATTATCTTTCCACTGAATAGTGCTGAATGTTCTAACAGTAGATGACTGTGAGCAAAGAGTCACTGACCCATTCACCTTGGGTGTATCCACCAAAATGCTGTGGTGTTCACAGAGAAAGCTGCAGCTCTCTGTTGCTGAGCACCTGCCTGGCAGTGCTCAGGCATAGGCTGACTGCACATTTCATAGGTTAGTAATTCACCCGGGTGTCTAGTGCTGGCTTCGCAGGTGTGCAGAGTGAGGCAGAGGGAATGTGCTGTTTTTTCTGATGCCCCCCCGCCGCCCCCCGAAGGTGCTTGGAGCTCCCCTCCTCCCTGTCATCTCTAACAGCAGGCAGCTTCTTCATCACAACTTTTTGTGGGCTCCAGGCTCCCTCTTGCTGCCGGTGTTGGCTACTCAGCTCCCACTAAATGATTGGAAGGGCATTTTCCTAGACAAGGATTTGCAAAGTATAAGCATTTAGATTTATTCATCTCCTACCTCAGTACTAGACATCATTAAAATATTTATTTAGTTCAGGCTTTTGGTATTTGATTATATCACAAGACATGTGAAGGAGAGAATATAATTTTTTTTTTTTTTTGGTCTTTTTGAGACAGGGTCTCCCTGTAGCCTCAGCTGGCCTGGAACTCACTATATAGACCAGGCTGGCCTTGAAGTCACAGAGATCCACCTGTCTCTGCCTTCCAAGTGCTGGGATTAAAGGCGAGTGCCACCACACTCAGTGAGAACAGAATGTTTTATGAAAGTCAAATGCCATTTAAATCTCTGAGAATAATATTCTAAATGCTAAAGCTGTTATGTCTACAAAACCCTCCTGATAATTGTTAATTGTCCCTGAGACTACTTCATCTTCTGGATTCTTTTCATTTGTTTCCCTTTATACTTATCCTTTATTGAGGAGTTACTTCCATCTCTACAGACGTAGTAAAGCCAGGCATGAATCTCCGAATATAAGACTTGCCTAGCCAGGGAGAAGAGGGAGGGCTTGAGCAGGGTAGGCTTATTTTTATTTCCCATTATACTAAGAGATGCAGATGTGCTCTATGAAATATTTTCTGTTTCTCCCCAGAGACACTTTTTTCAAAACTTGGGGTCTATTTTAACATATGCCTTCTTGGGAACTGCCATCTCCTGTATCGTCATAGGGTAAGTGATATTCAGAACTTGAGTTCTAGGTGGCTGGAAGTCACTGAGTGACCTGGGCAGGAATCTCAGACTTCCTGCTGCTTGGGCTGATCTTAAATTTTTTTTCTAGTGTGTCACATATGGGTCTGTTTTGTCATGTTTCCATGCTAGGAATCTGATGTGCTAGGTGAATGCCCTGCCCTCCATCCCCTATCCCAGTACATTCTTCTAACTGGTCCAAAGTTTCCATGCCTTTTGATAAGCACAAGGCTCCAAATTAAAACAAACTGCCATTGGACTGCTGGATTTTCTCTGTGAGTTCTGAGCTTCTGATTTAGAGCATCACTTGGACTGAGTTATGGGAAGCAGCTCCCAATCTTTGTTAGCTTGAATAAGGCAGATATGCTCAATACATTTTTGCATCATCTTTGCAGGGCTCTGCCTACATTTGACAGGAATATAGTAGTAGCTATGTGCCAAGGGTTTTCTTTCTAAAGGAGGGTTTACCAGAGAGCAATTTGAAACAGATAGGTTCAAATATCAGCAGAATTGTGTATTGCTGGGGTAGCTTTGTGCTTGATGCCCTGTAGAATATGAGCCATTTTTTCTCAATATATTTGTTGGTTATGCTGCTAGTCCGAAGTCAAACTGCAGATACTCTGGCTCACAGCTCACCAAAAAGCAAAGTGAGGTCCAAAATGGTGAATCCTGTCCAATCTACTTATGATCCTATCGAATGCATGGACGCTCCACTGCTGAAAAGCATCCAGCAGCTGAGACGGTGGTGGTGATGCATCCATCTTAAACTGTGTGATACAGCCAACTCTACCCTTGATTTTTACTGCTCACAGCTGTCATCACTCTAACCAGAAAATCATGCTGAATGTACCTGCCAGTCATGGCTCTGGCCCTTCTTTTATGTGATATTTAATGTTGCCTAGCCAAGACTCAAGATGTGTCAGACGAGTCTCTATGCAAATCTGAAAGCAGAGAAATTTTCTATTGAACACTGCTAAGTCTTACTGAGTCAAAGCTAGAAGGGCTAAGCTACATTCTGTGAAAACATAAATGCGGTTGAGGTAGAGAAGCAGCTAAAGATTTTAGTACTTGAAGGCGGATGCTTGCATTAGTGAAGCTTCCTCAAGTCTAGTCTCCCAAGTGCTCATTAAATTATGTATGACCTAAGAGATGCAGTGGGCCTGGTCCTTCACAAAGACATTTTGGGAGGCCCTCATGACCTGTGAGTGTGCAGGAACTGAATTTGGAAATTTTGAAACTCATAGGACCCCGAAGTCTGTGTCATTAAAACTGTTCATTCTGAATATGAGGTATTTTGAAAGGCTGACTGATTAGGCCAAACTTATCATAGTGAGAACAGGGCCACGGTCAAGATGGCATTCAGAACCTCAGCTCCTGACCCAGCAGATCTTGCCACCATCCTGTCTTTAGCAATTTCTCTTGAATTCCCTACATCCCTATGTACTGTCTCAGCTCTTTCACAGAGGTGCTGAGGTATGTGGCCTCCTGACAGATATTTGATATTTCATGAGTATCTGAATTTTATAATGGATGGAAATTTCTAGCTACTAGACAATGCTGAATTCTATTATTAGTTTTCATTATTACTCTATTTCCTTTGTACTTTGAATTTTAAGTACATTTACAAATATTTGTATTGCATGCTTTCACTTCTTAAAATCTATACTCTTTCTTATGTATGATGTACTCTATTAAAAAATTAAAGGAACAATATATGATGGGCTTAAAATTGTCTTTTTCTGATTAGTTCAATCTAAGAGATATGGTGATTTTCCCCTTATTGGAGCTGAGAATTTCTGTTGATTTTTTTTTTTTTTTGAGTGGGGGTAACCTTAGCTAGACTGGAATCTGTCATGCAGACCAGCCTGGTCTCAAACTCATAGCAGGTCTCCTGCCTCTTGCCTTCCAAATTCTGAAATTAGAGGACACTACATCAAACTTCTTTTAATTGATTTCTAAGTGTATAACCAGAAATTTAAAGAGTACTTTGAAGAAAAATGCTCTCTGAAAACTTTTACAATTATGTTATCTGTTTGAACTGGGTATAATAGCAGCAACAAGAACTAACAGGCTGTGTCATGGTGTAGAAACGGATTGGCAGCTTAAACATTGTAGGCTCGTGTCTGGCAAGGTGACAGACATGGTTGAAGAGTTTTAGCTTCAATAAGGTCCTGCTTATACTTCAGGAAGGTCATTTTGGTGACCATAAAGAGTAGAAGTTATAGACTCAGGAAAGATGCCAGGGAATATCATTTAAGTTAAATCAGGGAACTATTTAAGAGACCCATTCACAGACCTGTTTAGAAATGACAAGGCCTGGAGCAGGCAATAGCAGCCAGTGGTCAAGGAGTCATTGGGGTGAACAGGGGAAGTGCAGGGCAAGTGCAGCGGAATGGCAGGAACAGCTCTGAGGAAAGGGAAGAGTCACTCATAAGCAGACTAAGAACTGCTGGGTCCTTGAAACAGGAAGAAGACCAACAGAGCTTGTTCTGCAAGTCAAAAGAAAAAGAAAAGAAATGGAAGACAGTGTCTACACAGGAGAGGCTGAGTGGGAAATGAATTGTAATAGCCGCTGGATTTGGGCCCTAAGAACTAAGGGGTGGCTTAAACTTGTCCTATGAACAGAAACACAGGGAGGGTACTGACAGACAAGTTCAGTTGTCTGGGGAGAGACCACTAAGAAAGAGAATTAATCTTGGTATATGATTTCACAACTTTGTTTTGGTTTTTTTGTTTGTTTGTTTGTTTGAGACAGGGTTTCACTATCTGACCTTAAACTTATTCCATAGCCAAGGCTGGATATGAACTCTTGGTGATCCTCCTGCCTCAGCATCCTAAGTGCTTAGGATTGCAGGCTTGTGTTACCATACCCAGACAATCTCAGAATTTCTGTAGGAGAGATACATACTGAAACTTAGACCAAACCGATACTTTAATAACTATTGTATGAGGTCTAATAAACCCTAGAAAATGACTGGTTACGTTATTCTGATAAATGATTTATTTATTAACATTTATCGAATGTCAATACTGCCATACTGCTTTAAAAATACTTGAAATAGATTGTATCATTTAATCTTCAAGATAATCTTATTAAATAGATATCATTTATTACCCTTATCTAATAAATGAGACAACTGAGTTTTGGAGAAGATTGCACAGTGGGCAGCCATAGAGCTGGGATTAGTGACTACATAGTTTGGTTCCAGAGTAAAGTGATTTTGTTTTCTCTATTTTTATTGAATTTTTGTACATTTCGTACAATACAACTTAATCATATTTAGACTCCCTTCCCTATCTGCACGTCCCTATAGGCTCCCCCCCAGATTTCATGCATTTCAGGGTAAAATTATTAATGCCCCCAAACTGCTTTACTTGTATTTGTTGAATGTTATCACTAAAAGTTAAAGTTGTAAAACTGAACCAGAATTCACTAGCTGCATATCTATCTCTTCATCAGCCCAGTAGGCATTGTCAAAAGCACAGGACACATTTATTTGGGAATTTCATTCAAAAAAAATTCACATTTTTAAGGGAAGAAGAGAAGCAGAGATGGTCAGCCTTGCGTGAATTTGGCAAGAAGATGATTCAGGTCAGTTAGACTGAACTCTGCAAGAAAACTGTCACAGAGGACGTGCATCCCAGGAGTGACAAATGCAAAAGGACGAGGCAGTCAGCTTTCCCACGCCGCTCAGGGCTTCAGTTAGGCTGTGTGTGGGGACACTGCAAAGTCCCAGCTTGAAATACAAGGCCCAGGAAGCCCAGCATCTGAAATGTATGGGAGTGGGAGGCCCCAGAGAGGGGTCAGATGAGAAGGGAACTCCACTAGCCACTAGCGAGCCATAGCCTTCTGAAGGCAAAAACATGATCTGGTCAAGATATCAACACAACTGGCTTTAAAGTTGAGCTCGGAAACTGCAGGAATCGGAACCCTTTGGTTTTGTTCCAACGTGCTAGTAATTAAGTTTAATAACTCAATATTATCTAGAAACAGTATAGACATCCTTCACACTACTTGGGAAAGTTTGACAATATCTCTTTTGGCAATACCAGCATAGGAAACTTTTTCTTATAACTTTTTAAAATTATTAATTTTGTACATTAGCACTCAGAGTTTTATTATTGCATTTTACACGTGTGCCATTACACTGTGTTCTAAACGTTTTAAAAAAATTTTGTGCATGTATGACGTGTGTGTGTGTGTGTGTGTGTGTAATGCAGTTTTCATGAGTTAGGACATGTATATGGAAGTCAGAGGACAAGCCTGGGTGTCTGTCCTCTTCCACCTTATATGAGACCAGGTCTGTTTATGCCAAGATGGCTGGACCGTGGGCTTCCAGTGATTCTGTCTCCCACCCCTATCTCCTGGTAGCAACACCCTGTGGTTATAGACACTAGCATCCAACATTTTACATAGATCTTGGAGGTCTGAACTCAGGCTATCAGACTTGCACAGCAAGTGCTTTACCCACTAATCGATTTCCCCAGTTCCCAAAACTTTGCTTTTTAAGAACTCACTGTCCTTAAAGAATTCAGTGAGCTTTTCTGGCATCATCCTGAATTTCATCACTTAGAGCATATCACCTTAAACATGCCTCTTATAAAGAGTATGTTTGAAATGTTTTTCTGTTTGCACCTCCATCTTTGGGAACTACTCCTTTATCTTCAACCTGTGTTCACTAAGTGTGCCATACCCTGTCACAATAACAACCTGTGCACCTTGTCCTGAGAACTTACTAGTATCCTTGAGATGCTTTTAAATATTGCACTTGTTTATTTATTTTGTGTATGTATGTGTACATGTGTATATACCATGGCCTGTATGTGGACATCAGAGGGCAGCTTATCAGAGTCCATTCTCTCCTTCCAACCTATACATTCCAGGGATCAAAATCAGGTTGTCAGGCTTGGCAGCAAACACTTTTATTCACCAAACCGTTTGTCCTGGATAGTTTTAGTGTCAAGTTGACACACCTGGGTTG